TCCTACGAAATATTCTTCCACTAAGGGTGTACTATACTAATTGAATGTTAAGGCTGTTAAAGTATGTAATAGATTACGGTACTTTGTTAGGAAGTCTATCCCCATAATTAGATGCAGCGTTTAGGTTATTAGGACTGCCTGCCTATCTCTAACAAAACCTATTGCTATTAAAACTGGTGCTACTGCCGCTGGAAATGCACTAATATTTTAACACGAACCTGTTCGTTTCCTTGTATTCATCAGAACTATCCTTATTGACAAATTTGGGAAATATTTGTTTTTACATCACCTAAAAATTAAGATTTTATATTTATCATCGAGTAATTAATATAATGGTTTGTCCATTTTTATCACACAACACAAAATGAGTTCAATGTTTATTACATCTAAATATTTGTGGTTGTTCCTTTATAATTGATCACGAAATAATGAGTAATAATGAGCCCTATAGCCTAGAATTACACTTTACACATTTTACAATCCATTATTCATGATACACGATCTCTCACAATACCTATCAACATCCCTAATCCTACATTTAATATTTCAGCACAAGGGCGTAAAGTGACTATTTACGACCCGAGCTCAAGTTTCACGACCGAGGCGAAGTCGAGGTCAGAAAATGAGCATATTAATTAAGCAATCTCAGCTGCACCACCAAAATACTTTTTATGTAAAGATAACCTCTGTAAACTATTTCCAACTTGTTTTCAATTTTTCTTATGCAAACCAGCAGCGGTTTAGTAAGGGATTTAATTACTTCATTTATTACGATTGTAACAGCGTACATCATTTCAAACTTTTACATCATCATTAAATGAATGTATATGCAAGCAACAATAAGCTATATAGAACCAATTAAAATAGTCGATATATAATTTCAGTTACGATTGCTTACAGTCGGAGTTTACAACTTAATTTTAACTGCTGATTAATTACTCCCTATGGACTAAAAAGGTTTTTTTAACGAATAGGGAGTAAAAGAGCTACTTTAGATCCGCAATGCATGTATTGAAAACGGCTTTTTTGCTTAAGTATGATGAAAAATCTGCTCTCCCGCCACCACAGCATCAGCTGTTCATCACTCCCGCCAGCCCCTGACCTTTCCCATAACTCCCCAGCAGTCAGCTGATGTACGAGATCAGTCCAAGCTCATTGGATCGTAAAGTCTCAGCAGGTCAGCTGTATAAATCCAGCCCTAACAGTCGTAAATCTCATCGGTCAATCTTTCAGCGGTGATCCAAATATGCAAATATCATATTTACGACGCCTTGATTTTGCCGCGCAAATTTAACTGGAATTCCCGCGGGCGCGTCGATTTAGCGCCTAGGAAGCGTTGAATAATAACTGCTGAATATTATTATTGAAACCGAGCAGATTTATTAAGTCGTAGGAAAGCAGTTTGGCGCCTTGAAATGAGGATTAGGTTTTATTCGATTCAATTAAGTATTAGTGATTTAGTGTCACTATTTCTTTGGCTTGACTTTTCCGTGTTAGGATGTGTCAAATATGGTTAGTTTGTATCGTTTCGTACACATAACTAGCTAGAATAAAAAATACGTTTCCATAGAAAAACTTGCACAGCTATTCGGATTATGGTAAATAATTACAGTATTCAGGAACTCAGTGGGTTGTATACGATGATTTATTATACTGCAATGTCTTACAAAGACTATTATTCACATTACTAACTGGTAGTATCATCACGCTTCCATTACACCCTTGCATTTTTACGTATTATAAAACCAATCAAAACTCACAAAAACTCAGACGGCTGTGGCTATTGTAATATACTATCACAGACAAGGGAAACGTGAACTCACTACCTGGAAGTAACCCAATTTACTCACCAACAGAATAAAACTAGCCATCACACAAATAATACCTTGATGACGAATAAAGATAGGTACTAATATTCTGTACCCTGTTTTAAACCCACTTGTAATATTCACAAAGTTAATTCATGCAGCAGAGTACCAACAAAGGTAATAAAACAAAACCAAGTATCGAAAACCCAAAAGTTTTTAAAACAACAATGCTTAAATACTTTTAAACACAAGTCAACCAGTATTTTCAAGTGATATTTTCCACAGTGTGTTTTGCAACACTGGCGTAGCATAGCAGTACTGTAGCGGAGGCGCCCAGGGCGTTGTGCCCGAGGGCGCAATCTCCGGGACCGGTGTTGCGAGAGAGCGCCCCGGGCGCTGCTCTAGGCCGCCAACAGGCGCGCTCTATACTCCGCCTCAGGGCGCCCACTGATGAAGCCTTCCAGTCAAAAACTAATAACTCTGAGAAAATAAATTCCTGACTTGAGGGCTACACTACACCTCCCTTCGCGTTTGTGTGGCACTTCTGCTTAGTTTATAGCAGAATATATTTAGTTAAATAATGGGGGGAGGTGCGTATAGTGTAAATGATGGTTGATCGAATTTATTTTGATTACAGATTTAAGTTATTCGCCTATAAATTCAGCAAAACGTTGATACGCACATTATACGAGTGACTCAAACCACTTCAGACAACATAAATAATTGTGTTAGTTTTAGATGTAGTTTCTAATGATTTTGATGAGTAAATCTACATTAAAATTGGGACTGGGACGGGTGGCGTCGTCCTGTAATCCAGCTACTAGGAGGTCACGAATTGTGGATATTTATAGGGATGCACTGTGGATGCGATGCTCACTGGTGTGGATTAACGTCCGCACTAGTGAGTACTACGACTATCCGCAGTACTATCCTGATAATTAGACCAATTCGTAAATTACAAGGAAAAATGTGGTTCGGATTCCACTATAAACTGTAGGTCCCTTAGTTGCCATTAGCTGTATGGGCTATTAATTAACAGCTGTGTCTAAGGAACATGTCGGCCTTAGTCACTAACAAGACTACAAGATCGCGCCACTCATCCTACACTCATCCTTCACTCATATTTGGGTTAAAATACGCACATAGTGGCGTCCCCATCTTAAATAATTGATAAAATTGATATACATATGAACAAGTTTTAGCGAACGCACTCAATTTAAACGTAATTTGGGTTTAGAATCGGCTTGGATCTCATACATTTGTTTTTATTGTCTTTTTTTTACTTCATTGACAAAGTTTTGAGAAGATTTGAACAAAACACTTTTCACAAAATACTATAAATGTTATGCGTTATTCCACTTTACACCTATACACCTAATAGTTACCGAAATATTAAGCAAGCTGCGTTAACCACTGTAATAGATTGCTAGAAGAACTTCATAAACTTATAAAACTTTTAAATTTATAAAAAAACATGTAAGTACTTATAACAGATTTCTGTACCCAATTGTGTACCTTACAAATTCAACAGAAAATTGTTTCTGTTTCTTAAAGCAGCAATCCTAAGTAGTCATTGAGCCAATTTTATGTCTGTTGTGTGTGAATTAAGCTGCACATATCTTATATTATGAAATATGAAAGGGAAATAACTGGGACATTGCTTAGTGTACAGGTTTGTTGTAACGGTGATGTTTTGTTTGTCATTACCTACAATGAAGTAAGGTTGAAGGTAACATGGAAATTGTTGTAAATTTCATCATATTTTTTTTTATTTCACAAGTAGACTAAATTTAGTAATTTTTGTTCTAGGACGCTAAGCACGTGCCTGGGATTGTTTTTCACATTAATTCAGGCTAGACCTAGGAGTTGCGGCACTATCATTTGACTGTACCAATATAGATGATTCTTATCTTACCGATGTCATTCCTGCAAATATACAGCCTTTGTCTCAACTACTATATGTATCTTCATCGAAATAGAACAATCGAAAACATTGTGTAGAAACGACGCTGGAATATACCCCCGACCAGTATCTTCGAGCATAGTTATTGGCACGCATTCAACTGATAATCGATGATAATCGATATGATCAATCGGTTTACATTTCAGACGGAGAATTGGGGGCGCGCCATTGATTGACATCTCTTTTGACCAGTCATCGATACACTGCGGATATGTTGCCGATATTATCGACTGTCGAATTCAATTTTGATTCTTGTATTTATTTATTTAAACTACAAAAAAACGTGTGTACAAACTACCTGGAAAATGTAAACATATTTTTTATTGTGTATTTGTTTCATAGGTCGAGATAGTAACAAAACATAATATGAACATGTTTAAAACGCTGGTTTTCTGTAACTCTGTATGTTTATTTCACAAATGAATACTTAACTATATTTCTTAAATAATTGACTTCAAACTAGGTACGTAAGGTGAAAAATTGGAATCAGCACACAAAGTATAAGATATGTGCTAATAAAAAATAGTGGTAGCCTAATTCAACATTTTCACATTAAATATATCAAAAACGACTTTAAAACATTTAAAAATAAAAATAAATAGTTTTTCACAGTTTTACAACTAGTCTAACATAGCTTAGCTTTGCCTCGGTCCATAAACATCTAAGATATTCTAATTTGGGTGGGATTAAATGTTTATCATACATAAAGTCTGAAGTGTTGTAAGAAGTTTGAAAATGTTATGCAACTATTAATATTATAATTTATATTTTCAAGCCCATGAGTTGGTTCTATTACTAAATTGAAATATTACTTTCGTCCGCCAGCTCCTGTATTGTAACAAATATATTTTAATGGGTTTTAAAAAATCCGTTTTGACTATGTGTGTGTTTCGTGTAAAGATGTTATTGTGTTATAACGACGCCTTTTGGCTGAACAGTCTGACGATGACACAGTGATGCTGAAACGGCCGTAATGTTACAATACAGGAGCAGGCTGACGAAGGTAATACTGTATTTCTATTTAGTTATTAATTTTACATGTTTATGTGGTTTTCAAAGTCTACGAGTTTCTATATAAAAGGTGGTTTTTGGTGAAAATGTCACGAATGATTGACGTGGCTTCTGCGCAAATACATTTAATGATTTGCGTCATCTGAACACTTGAATTCGCAAAATGATGACTATGACAAATTTTCCATCGAACATTTTGCTACTAAAAATATAAAATTATAGTTTGAACCATCGTTAAATACGCGAGCAAGTGTAACTAGGCATCCATCACTCATAAAGTGATAGGTTAATTGTCGAAGTATTAGACAAAAATTGTTAAGCGTTTTTTGATCAGTCTTCACTACATCGCCAACACTGAAACTATCTACCAGCTCAAGGTAAGCTTGTCCTAAGTATGTCCTTTGTCGAATTTGTTAATTAAGGTTTTAAAATTTATAAACTGATAACTTTTATTATATTGTTGACTACATGCCTTTATAATACCCCCAATGCAGACTAAGCGAATTCCAATTTGTCTGATTGGATTTTGAAATAGTATTGGATTTAAAAAGTACTTAGCTTTGCTGCTATGAGGAGGTTTTAGTATTGCTATGGGGAGGTCAAAATAGTATAGTATGAAATAAATAAATTTGCCGAATTTGATCAACATAATACATCTATCGCAGTACAATTGTAAAATCAGCTATTAAAAAAATCTAGGCTTTTTATAAAACGCCTCTGTATTATAAAATACTTCAAAATTCCAATTAGGCCAAGCGAATTTAGGAAAAATACAAAACGGCCGAGTTGATTTCGTTAATTTAAGCATTTTTGCCGTTTGGGATTTTATTTCAAACAGAACGTTACCTGATGATCAGATGATCAGATGATCGTCACCTGCCATTATGTAAAATAGTCACCCTTATTTTTGTAAAATGGCTAGTTTTGTTTCAGTCTTTTGTTAGAAAACAAAATCACGAATCACAATAATTCTGAATGAAAACCGTTTAACAAAAATCTTAGAACTTTACAGCCCAACTGTAAAAGTGATTATGTTTTATTTTTTTTTTTATTTTTACATAATTGAACAGTTTGGACGAATAGCGTTTGGTTTGTATTTACTTTTAATTTATTATTTGCTCTTTAATTATTTAATATGGTTAACATATGAAAATTGAGCTTATCAAAGCTTACTCTATTCGGCTAAATTATCTTAAACAAATATTATATTTCTTGAAACGGTTTATGAGCAGTCCTTTTGTGTGTAAGTTGTTTCAAGAGCAAAGAGTTGGATGAAAGAGTAGATATTTTTAGCAAGACCTTTAAAGAACCTAAAGATTTCTTCGCTATACTTAGAAATGTGTGTGTGTGTAAGGGTTTTTTTACTACTATTCTACTTGTTTATGAAGAAGATGATTTCAATTTATTAAAACTGATTATTCTGTTTTCCAATGAAGGTTAAAAGTACCTAATTTAAAAATCGACTTGTAAGTTGCCAGCTAGTTGAAAATAACGGCATTTGTTGATATTTTTTATTTTATGCTGTAATAAGGTAATTATCGTTTTATAATTTTGCTATTGAGAAATTTACTGTGAACTATTTGAAGCGATTTACAGGTAATTATTTACGGTTTATACATTGAAGAAGAAAACCTACGAATATTTTATCTTATAGTATTCTATGTCAAAAGATATAGTTTAAGATATTGTTTATAACAATTCTTATCGCACTCAAGTATGGTAAACATGAAATAATATCAATGACACGCATTGTACATACTGTAATTAAGATATCGTATCGAGTAGTTATAGTAATACATAGCCTAGTATAGCAGTAGTAAAGTAGATAAGTACTTTAGTAGTAAAGTAAAGCTAGATTGTGTCAATACAAAATTAAAATTATAGCTGCAATTTTAATTTTACGAACTTTGAATCCATCTAAATAGTACAGATGTAAACATTTTGGAATGTTAAATCTGTTAATTTTAGAGGGTCTTTTGTTGTGATATTTTAAAGCATATTATGTACTATTTTCTAGAGACCGTTGTATGTAGCCAGTTTTTGCTTAAAGGTCCGTGGGATTCAAATATAAAATAATTGAAATTGTACATTTTAGTATTCGACATTTTTTATCTGCTCTTTATCTTTGAGTCCCGTATGGAAAGAAAAATTTCATATTTTATATTAGTGATTACTTGGGGATTCAAGAAAGAATTTAAATTCTATTGTTATCTGTGTATACGAGAACGAGTATATTATAGGTTTGAATTATTATGAAGTATGTAACGCACCACAACATTTCATTAAGTACCAGCTCGTCCAAAAATGTAAGCTTGAAACTTAAAAGCTATTGGTTGAAGAATAATATTGTGAATTTGTTTAGTATGATCACGAAAAGGAAAATGGTATACCACAACTTATTGCTCGTCTTCTTCGTATTGACCAATATTCCTGTTCTGATGGCGGTGGGTGAAAATGGAAAAAATGTTGTGGATCAAGTTAACAACCCAAAGAATCAAGAGGAGAAACGAGATGAAGCCATGGTAAATACTAACTACTTTAAAATGCATGGTTATATTATTAATCAAGTTAAGTTTAAGATTAAGTTTAACCACCAATATTATGGGATCTAACTAAAAGATGACGAGGAAGGTACATAACAATGCAGGGTCGAAATGCAGTTACGGTAAACTGTCACAACTTTGACTAATATATAACATTAATGATATATTTGTTTGACCAAACCATTTTAGTTGTGCCCTGTAACTGATACACGTTAGCGCCTAATATGGTCTTTCGGCTACATTAAATTTAAATAAAAAAAAGTAAAGTAAGTTTAGTTTCTTGTTATCAATCTGACTGTGGTCAAACATTCAACTAAAGGAACAGCTCAAACCGTTCTAAAAAATCTTAGTCAGCATTACAACCCGATCTTGGTCGGTAACAGAGCTAAATAATTCATTTCATTTACCTAGCAATTACTTTTTGTTTATACAGTATGTGGAGTGTGCCTGTATGATTTGATTTTGTTTTCATCTCATGTGATTGTGATAGACAGACTTTCTATACTTTTTTGATTGAATATGTCTTTAATTTAATTTGACAATAAGTATATTGCTAACTTTTGCAAAAATAATTCCTCAAACTACTTCCATTGACAATTAGTCAACATACAGTACACCTATAACACCACCTATATCCATTGACCCACAACATACAAGCCACTATACAATACGCCTAATCTATTTTACTGAGAGTTTTCAACTAATTCAATATGTTTTAGGAGGCAGATATTCAGACTCTAAAAAATGGACTAATTGAGAAAGCAATCTCCACTTTTAAAAGCGAGGGAGGTTTGGATGCTGGTCAGATTCAGCTATTAGTATTGAGTTACCATTTAAGTAAAGCCTCCTTAGTCTATAAAGTGGGGATATTGTCCGTGACGGGAGAATTCATGAATGCCAAAGGTTGGAAGAATTGTGAAGACGTGATAAATGGATTGACAGAAGCTACTACAATTAGGGTATGTGGGTTACTAGTGATATAGTGATCTAATGTTGTAACTAAACGAAATCACTTGGTTTGTAATAGACTGAATAAACATTAATTAACTATACATTGCCATTCTTTAGATATAATAGTGAGTTTACTGTGGTTATACATTGCTGCTATTTAGATAGAATAGTGAGTTTACTTTGGTTATACATTGCTGCTATTTAGATAGAATGGTGAGGTTACTGTGGTTATACATTGCTGCTATTTAGATAGAATGGTGAGTTTACTGTGGTTATACATTGCTGCTATTTAGATAGAATGGTGAGTTTACTTTGGTTATACATTGCTGCTATTTAGATAGAATAGTGAGTTTACTTTGGTTATACATTGCTGCTATTTAGATAGAATGGTGAGTTTACTGTGGTTATACATTGCTGCTATTTAGATAGAATGGTGAGTTTACTTTGGTTATACATTGCTGCTATTTAGATAGAATGGTGAGTTTACTGTGGTTATACATTGCTGTTATTTAAATAGAATAGTGAGTTTACTGTGGTTATACATTGCTGCTATTTAGATATAATAGTGAGTTTACTGTGGCTTTACATTGCTGATATTTAGATAGAATGGTGAGTTTACTGTGGTTATACATTGCTGCTATTTAGATAGAATGGTGAATTTACTGTGGTTTTACATTGCTGCTCTTAAGATAGCCAGGTTTGGATATCTAACCTTTTAATAACTTTTTCTACAGTCACCCGACGAAGTGGGCTTCCTTGCACAGATTATAGTACAGAAAACCCTTACTTTGGCGCAAAGTATTTACATACTTGTTTGTTACTTTGGCGCACGGTTTTTACTTTGGCGCAAACCAGTATTCCAACCAAACAACACAAAACGGCGTGCTTTTTATGCCAGTAATCCGTGTACGCTTGAAAATAAGTTACTAACACTTTAAAATATTACGACTACGATCAGCTGCCGCAGCGTTTCCCATTTCGTTCAATGTTTGGATTTAACCCAACCTAACAACATGTTGTACAGTGTTTGAATGAATAATTTATTTATATGATTTATAGTAAATTTAGGTAAAATATAATGTGTAACACGAGTGCAAACTGCCTTTGCTGCACCCGAGAAGCCCACTGGTTACACGAAAAACTATTTACCACCTTTTACATTTAACTGTGTAGTTTTTACACATAAACATGGATAAAACATACTGATCTATAATTTACCACTTATATTATTTTGCAGTTCAGTGATGTAAAAGAACGCTTACAAGGGAGTTCTGGTGATTCCTTGAAAACACTTGAAGATATCTTCGACAATGAAATTAAGAAAGCGCTTAAAAAGTCATACTCCTATGAGTTTTCTAATCACTGCAAAAAAGCTAAAATACCCATGAATCCAATGGTCAGTATTAAAACTTTATAATAAGTTTAATTTACCTATCATTTATCTTTTGTTCATATTAATACGAATTTGGATATATTATCTATAATCCATATTGTAGTGTTGCTGTACGTTTTAGTTTTGTCTTCATCTCATTTGACTGTGACAGACAGACTTTCAATACTTTTTTTATTGAATATGTCTTTACTTTAATTTGAAAATAAGTATGTTGCTAACGTTATTGAACAAAAATTCCTCAAACTACTTCCATTGACAATTAGTCAACATACAGCACACCTATAACACCACCTATATCCTTTGACCAACAACAAAAAAGTCACTATGCAACACCCCTAATCTATTTTATTAAGAGTGTTCAACTAATTCAATATGTTTTAGGAGGAAGATATTCAGACTCTAAAAAAAGGACTAATTGAGATAGTAATCTCCACTTTTAATACCAAGGGAGGTTTGGATGCTGGTCAGATTCAGCTATTAGTATCGAGTTACCATTTAAGTAAGACCTCCTTACTCTATAAAGTGGGGAAATTGTCCGTGAAGAAAGAATACATGGAAGCCAAAGGCTGGAAGGATTGTGATGACGTGATAAATGGATTTACGGAAGCTACTACAATTAGGGTATGTGGTGTACTAGTGATCTAGTGATCTAATGTTGTAACTAAACGAAATTACTTGTTAGTAATAAACTGAATAAACAATTATTGACCATTGAAGGTGGGTATGGTGGTGGAAAGATCGACCAGGTGAAGGGACAGGATGAGCAAAACCTGTTTAATGGATAAAATAAAACTGTTATAACCTAACTTGACCTAACCAAACTTGCTGATTATGATAAAATCGAATGATGGTTTACTAATCTAAACGATATTTTCAATCGATATTAGGATATCCCAGTTAAAAAACTATACCCGGTCTCCAACATTCTGCCCACTACACCCCCTTTCACTAATTCCCCTCCCCTAAATCACTCATACGTTCTGGAGAGTCAAGTGGCACTCGGGCCTACCTGACGGCTTTGACAGTTTATGACCTCCACGGTAAACAAATAGATTGGCACTCGTTCCGCTTCCTCTTCAATGCAATAGCGTTAACATAGCGTGTAAAATAGGACAGAAATGTAACTTCATTTCACTGGTTAATCAATGCCTATTATAAGGGTTTATAGTCAGTGTCGCCAAACCACGGATACAAGACAGATCGTCTGTCATTCTTCATGTCAACCCTTAAATTATACAAAAAGAACGTGTTGTTCTTATGAAATATATTTTTCGTAAAAAACCGCTGTTTTCAATGTGGGTCAAAGTGGCTCTTTCTCATCAGCACAAAATAACCACCTGAAGTCAAATTCGGCTGCAATAGCACCTGTCCGAAATTTATGTTTTTTTTTTTTAGTTCGTTGGCTGTTACAGTTAAACCAAAAATTCAGTTTATCAGACTAGCTATTATCCGGGTAGGTTTTTACACAGTTTTCATAGGTCATTAAACTAAAGGTCGTGGCAAAAAGAGTCGCCTTTTAGGCTGCGATGATGAAATTTTCTATTAAAAGTATTTTCCTGAGTTCTGGTCATAGTATTAGTTTACGCATATTGCAAACATATTTTATTCATGGAAATGGTGTTGTAGACGTGAGTTAAAATATTGTTTACATGTAATTCTTTCTTTACAATTATAATAAGTATGAACGTCCAAACTTATATTTAATTTTTACCACATATTATATTTTAACTATATTACTGTGTACTATTTTTTAAACATAACGTACCACTTATTATTATTTTGCAGTTCAATGATGTAAAAGAACGCTTACAAGGGAGTTCGCCTGATTCCTTGAAAAAACTTGAAGGTATCTTGGAAAATAAAATTAGGGAAGCTCTTTAAGATTCATACTACGATGGTTTTCAGAGTCACTGTGCTGGAATTCGCATCAATCCAAAAAAATAATCACAGCATATGTAACACCTTAAACACTTAAAAGTTGTTTTCTGGGATGAAAAATAAAAATATTTATCCATACCTCCTGACATGCCGTTTACTTTTTTGCACCTTTATACCTACACCTTTATTTACGAAATTATAAACACTACTCTAATCGTATTTTCATTGAAAATTACAACGACCAGTGTAGAGATAAAATTAAATATTAAAACGGGAATAGGGGTTTCCATTAAGCTTTTATGTAGAAAAGCTCAAGAGATTATAATTAATTATAAGTTCGTGTGAGATGGAGTCCTTTGATTTGGTGTATTTTGGATCATTGTGTCAAAATGCGAGTGACTTATTACTCATAATATTGCATTGTCTTCCAGTTGTGAGGTATATCCTTAATCATCGCCCAGTTAAAGTTTCTTTGCAAGTCCCTATAAGTTATATTTAAGTCTTTGAAATCAAAGGTTTATTGGACGATGTCTACATGTATACCTTCAGTTATTTCACCCTCAACGTTTTCATTTTGAGGTCTATTCCTCAGTTTTAAATGTAAGCTAAATGATTCAATTCAATTTATTTATTGTCCCGCGTGCACATTTTGTTGTACTCTGCATTGCATTGCATATCTTTCTAACTGCAAACTATTTGAGTGGAAAACTTAGATCCATTTATTGTAGAATTTTTTACAAAAACATAATATAAATACATTCTACAATTTTAAAACGATACAATATATTTATGAACAGAATTATAGCCAACACATTTTTATGAGGTTTCCATCTTGAAATTGTGAACATGATCTAATATGTTGTATATGTGTGTATAATGAAGAGTGTCATGGAAGTAGTTATGAGTCGGCTAAGTAGCGCTGTGTCTAGCCCGGGCTGCCAAGGGAGGGCTGGAACTGCACTCACGGTCAGTCCCTGGTCCTAATCCAACTACTGAACTGCACTCACGGTCAGTCCCTGGTCCTAATCCAACTACTGAACTGCACTCACGGTCAGTCCCTGGTCCTAATCCAACTACTGAACTGCACTCACGGTCAGTCCCTGGTCCTAATCCAACTACTGAACTGCACTCACGGTCAGTCCCTGGTCCTAATCCAACTACTGAACTGCACTCACGGTCAGTCCCTGGTCCTAATCCAACTACTGAACTGTACTCACGGTCAGTCCCTGGTCCTAATCCAACTACTGAACTGCACTCACGGTCACTTTGAGCCTTTCTGGGGGTACCGGAACTGCACTCACGGCCAGTTTTTAATTAGCCTATATCACATTGTGCAACACCATGATTAAATTGATTAAAACTTATTAAATTAGTTGAAATGTATTGAAAAGTTTTGATTAAATTAATCTAAACGTCAAAAAATAAACTTACTACTGACATTGTAAAAAATACACATATATGTGCACAGAAAATTCTAGCATAGTATTTACGATAAAATGATAGGCTATATTCTTATTATAACGAAGCTTCTTTTGTAAAGGTTAGGTTAGGTTATTTAATGTTGTATTTATTGTTGTATTTATTGGGACAGACAATAAAACGTGTATTAAATAAAGTATTGGATAAAGTAAGACAGAGGACGGAATAAACAGATGTCTAAGGGGCTAGCGAAGCGTTCAGTCGTGAAAGACCGATTTTTGACCGTGAGTGCAGTTCCATATGGCTTAGGCGGGCTACCCTTCCAACCCTTGTAAATTCCTTTGACCGTGAGTGCAGTTCGTTGTCAGCCGCTGCCAAAGCCACATTTGGGCAATGGGCATCTCACGTCTACCTGCTTTTCAACCCCTGTCCCAGAGTCTACTAGGGTCTAGGGTCAGTCGTAAAATATTTTGGCGGGGGCGGCCAAACAGTATAGCACTGTTCCCCATGAACGCTGTTTCCCCACCCCCGCCAAAATATTTCTTGACTGTCCCTTGGCTAGGAGATCCTGGGACAGGTTGTCCTACAACCCTGGGGTCGCTCGCCGCCTCATAAATTCTCCCTCCCCCTGCTTCTACTCCCACTTCCTCGCGACTTACTCGGGTTTAATGCGTTGACTTATCGAGGCTAAAATAACCTCTAATTTGTTAGAAAGTACGGTCCCCGGGGGCCTGTTGCGTCCGAGATATTCCTTACCACCTTCTGGCGAAATGAGTAATTAAATTATTAGCTGTGCGTGGATGTGACGCAATTATTACAATGGTTGTTTAAAATACAAACTATAAGTATACATCTTAGAGAGTTCATAAACTTCTTGTCTATTAAGGTGGAAGCAGCGTGAAAAAATCCCAAAGGACCCAGCGTTGTCTGTTGTAAAGTGTTAAGTAGACTAGTTCTTTGCCATCGTGTGTGTAAGGTACCACATTTCTATGTCAGAAGTATGACGTCATACTCCTGTATTCCTGTTGACAGCTGTGACATTGTTATGTGGCATCACCATGTGGACGGTTTGTTGGAATCTATCATTACCTAATAAATTTTCCTCGAATCTTATCCTACTTCTTACAAAAGTGACAACCTCCATAAAAATTAAAAATCGTAAAAAAAAATTATAACAGAACTGCCAATACCAAAGAAAACTTAATAAAGTCACAATAATGTAAAATATCTTCTCCATATACAGGCATATCTAATTGTCTGTTTCCTGGATAGTCTCTCAAAGTGAAATATCCCAAAAAGGGATAAATCCTGGAGTGGATCAGTGTTACCAACGTTCCCACGGGATATGATCGCACGCTCTCAGGTTGGGCAACCTTAGCATGACGTATACCGCGACATGACGGCCGCGGGACATCCACTGTCTCATTACGATAGTTAGACATCACATCGTCTTCGGTAGCTACCGTGGTAAAGGCCTAATAATTTATATCTATATATTAATCTTAACCTTAAGGGCTATGCTGTTTCCATTGTTCTATGGAGTTACGCATCGTTTTGTCATTTTAGAAGCACATAAACACTCTATGCAATAATGGAAATAACGCAACCATTGAGATTAAATTGGGTAAGTTGATCGGAAATGCACGGTAGCCGCCGAAGACAAAAGTTTTGTCTTCGGCGGCTACCGTGCATTTCTGATCAACTTACCCAATTTAATCTCAATGGTTGCGTTATTTCCATTATTGCATAGAATGTTTATGTGCTTCTAAAATAATTAATATACTTAATTAATACAACTTGTGTTTGATGTCAGTTAATGTTTCGAGTGTGCTTTCTTCTTCTAACTCTATGCAAAGGCAAATCTTAAAATGTGTGATTTTGTTGGCCAACCATCAATACTAACACTTTATTGATCATAAGCACACAATTAACTGCAACAACGCATAATATAATACAGGATATAATCGTTGAGCTCTCTTGTATGATTTAATTAAACGGGTCTCTAGAATGGCTCCAGATATGAAGGGCAGAGTTTAACTATTAAATTATCGTAGACGATAACATATCTTGGATTTGCCGGGCATTAATGTGCCTTGAAAGAGTCTCCATGTGATCCATAAGGATGAAAAGAAGTTTGTGTACTTGACGATGCTATTCGTCTACTATAGTTACATAGCTGTTTGCACTATCAGTGCAAGAGTGAAGTTGTTCCACTCTTACAACGGAAACGTTTACCTCAAGTTTGCAAGGTGCTGCGGCCAGGCCTACCAGTGAAATGTCTCTTCCCTCCAAGGTCCAAGGCTATAATTCGACATTTCCATAGTTTCGCCACCGTGGACCTGTAGGACTTGCAGGACCGGAAGGATGACACCGGGCCTGACGACCGGTCAGCCGAAAGTGGAGTGCGGGCGGAGAAACCAACGGAAAGGTCAGGTCAGCCTGTGACCTTTGGGGGGAAAGCTTGGTCAGGCCTCGGGCCTACCACGTGTCACAGGATATGTCACAAGACAAACTTTCAAGTTTTTTATTCTGAATAGATTTGTGTCGCGGCCTTATCGTCTACTGTGCAGCGCAGTAAGGAGCTTTTGCAGAATACACCCACCATTCCGTAACAGGTTTTAGAAGCTCAGAGCTCAAACCTATAAACTGATGTATATCGATGTTGCTTTTCCGAAGGTTCCTAGTTTTATGCAGATACCATCTTATATTGGCCATTGTCAACTCAGAACTAATTAAGAAATTCTCAAAGCTAAGTAGTAACGAGACAAGGGTTTGAACCGTTAACCTTACAACAAATGCAAAAATTGAAACAATACATTGTAGTTGTATGTAAAAAACTTATTAATTAATTTACTAATCTTTCCACTCCATTTAGTATACTTCACAAAATATAATTTATATCAAATTAGTTGCTATTCAATCTAAATTAAACTGTGCATTCATTCAATTGACAGTTATTTCAAATTACTAAATTACACAACTATTTTGAATAATTGGTTTTTTACAACCTTTAAAAATGCCCTCAGAATCTATTGTCTCTTCACATTCCGATCGGAAATATTTGTCAGGTTGTTTTGAATATTTTAACCCATGTCCAATTTCCAGAGCCGTCCCATTGGCCCTCGGCGAGCCATACACCTGTCTGCCCCAGGTACGAAACATCATTACTATTACCTCTGTAATTCCACTGATCGGGTTAACGTGTATCATTAGGGCTACATAGAGTATTTTATTAGAGGCAGAGCACTGCGCTCCGAGCAACGCCTCGAGCATACTTCAGACAAGGGAAACCTTCGTACTCTATGCCTTCAATTATTCCCTCCCAACCCTTATGGTATAATCCCTGGAACAAAGATAATGAAATGTGATTCTTTTGATTATGCTTGACAAGAACCGGGCTTTGTTTCTTCGTCATTATCGCAGACGTATTGTGGAAATGTCAGCCGTAATAAGGTGGTAATTAATGTGATTTTGGTTTTAAGACATTTTCTACAGTTTCGAATGTTGTTTCTGTTACGCAAAGACAAAAGGAGCATGAAGGATTGTATGGAAACAGAATTAATAAGGAAATTCATGTTGGATTTTAATGATCGGCTGAAAAGCGTAAGGCCCATAATATCAAATTGGTTAGAAGTAAAAAAATATTTTGATGAAAACT